CCTTGAACACCAGGACTCGTGTTTCTCCACTTCAGATACAGGTTCATGAGAACACGTATTTCCGAGAAGGCCAGATTCATCAAACGTTTACATGTAATTGTTCTTCATAAATCGATATGTTAAGATCACAGTTGGGGACAACCCCAGAGTCATTTTATCTTCCTCTCAGTTTCACCCTGTTGCTTGCCTTGAAAACTCTGGGAATTCTTGACCCACTGAAACAAACTTTGCTTATAGTGAAGTGGAGTTGAGGCATTTTTATAATGAGAAACTTCTCCTGATAGTTCTTTGGTTTAGCATAAATTACTAATGTGCTAGAAAAGTCACAGAGAATCAGTGAAACTTCCACATCATATTGACATCATACTTGTATTTCCTAACTGGGGAAAAATGGTTTTAATGGGATACACACTGTAGCAGAACAGAAAAAGCTGTGTCCTACACTTTCAACTAGTAGACATATTTGCCATAACAAGTATTTTTGTTTGTATTAGGAAAATATAGTCTCCACTTCCCTGTCAAATACATGTATGTCCCTGAGAACAGCCAGAGAAGCTCCCTGTGGCTCCCAGAATAGCCAGGCTGCTCCCCTGCAGCCCCGTGTGAGCCCCTCTGGGTTTGTGCTCAGCTCCCCCTGTGCACTCCCGCACTGTGTCACTCACAGCACAGAAGTACACTGCCGAGTCTGCCATTTGCACTGAAGGTCTCTGCAGGTGGAAGGATTTCTCAGTCTTCACAAGTTTGGCCTGAAAATCTCTGTTGTGGACCTCTTGATTATCCGATGAGCTTTTCAGGAGGAGAACAGGCTCTTTGTTTTGATGTTGGACATACCAGAAAAGATATTCTGTACCAGTGTAGGTGGTCTGGTAAGTGCAGCTCAGTGTCAAAGTTTTCCCCTCTGGGAGGGTAACAGGGCCTTCTGTCTGGTTCACTGAGTCTCCACTGGTCCCTCCTAAAATAAAAAGTAAAGGCTTTGTTGTATTGGCAATGAAAAGGAATCGTCTCCAGTTTGGTAAGAATCCTAAAACCAAGGAATAGAACACCTTAGAAATCCCAAGAAATGTTACTTACCCAACATCAACAAGATCATAAGTACCAGGCTGGAAGCAGACAGCATGGCTGGCAGAGAACCAGCAGCAGGTTTGCTTGGTAATACCACAGCTGAGAGGGCTGTTCCTCTACTTTCGTGATCCTTTGGTGGAATCTTCTAGAAAATCTTGACTTGTGTGTTAGGCAAGACAGACAAACTGCCCTGCAAGTTCATGTCACAGGCTATAAAAAGAGAGGCATGTTCAGAAATGGAAGATGTGTCAAAGCAGCACCCACGGGGAGCAGCGCCCTCTTGTGGTTTCTCCTCTGTCCTGCAGCCTTCCTCACTCCTTTGAATTTGATATTTACCTTGGAATGGAGCTTAAATTGTAGACAAGGACTAGAACTAAGTGTCTGGGGTGAGAGTAAGAGCTCCAGGAAGCACCAAGCACCTTCTGCAGACTTCACGATGGTGTAATGATGCTTAGACAGTGCACAATTCCTCAGTCACCCTCTTTATGATTCAGGGCAATATGGCTTGCTGAAGTCTCCCTAGACCCAGTATCTAATGTGTATTCACACCTACTATTAAGTTAGTTTCATACATTACAGGGTATAGTGAGAGTGGAAAAAAGGCATTATCTGAGTTCTCATCTTGATATAGTCCACCACTGCTTCCTTGAAACCAGGGGATGAGCCCTTCTACTTAGAATGTTCCTCCTTCCCTCCACTGCCCTTGCCTAGGTCACTTCTATTCAATCTTTAAGATCCAACTTACACGCCACCTTCCTGTGAAAGCACCCACCCAGCTCCTCAGGTTGAGTTAGTACTCCTCATTTTCCCACTTCACTTGTGACATATCATCACTGTCATTACTATAGGATATTAGAATCATCTGTGTCCTGTTTTTCATACTGGAGTTGGTGCCCTTGTGGTCAGAAACTGAATCTTATGAGTCTCAATAGCCAGTTCCTGAGATATACAGATGCTTTGCTCACCAACGATGTTCAAAATATATCTGAGGAATGAGTGAATACACAAATGAGTAGACATGTCTGGAGGGTACAGTTATCTTTTTAAGGAAGTCTAGTCTCCATGAGAACATGTGACCAGCTTCTTCCACAGTCAGAGCCAGGACCTGGGTAACAGGGGCATGCAATGTTTCTCAAAGTACAGGTCTTCATATAGAGAGCAATTCTTATACTCAATATTTTTTAAATTGTATGGTGCCTTATATATACAAAATAAAGGAGTTAAATACAAACTTTTTAGACTCATGGGTTTTACATCAAACCAAAAATGCCAAATCAAAATATCCTCACATAATTCCTGTCCCCCAGGGTTTCCCAAACTTTTTTTTATAAAGGGTCAAATAGTAAATACTTTAAGTTTGAAGTCATGGTGTTTGTTGCAAGTACCCAGTTGTGCTGTTACATCACAAAGCCACCATCATCAATGCATAGATAAATGGGCAAGGCTATTTTTCAGTAAAACTTTATTTTAAAAAATAGATGGTAGCAGCATCTGTACTGCCATCTACTTTTCAACCCCCTCTTACACCCCAAGAATTTACCCATAAACCTCCAGAGATCCATGGAGAAATTCCAGTCTGAGAAACTCAGCCATATTTTATTTGTACTCTTTCAAAAAAGTTATCATAGCTCTTTGAGAAGTCTTAAAATATAGGAAGTATATTAAATGAGTTACTGAATAAAAAGGAAGAAAAAGGAAATGATGATTCTAATGCCTAAGATACTTTGTGCTCAGGATTCAAAGGCAAGAAACACAGATATGGTCTCACAGAGCTCACCGACTAGTAGTGAAAATAGATTTTAATTAAATAATCAATAAATACAGAAAAACTGCAAGTTTGAAAAGGCAGAGATCTGTGATTCTAAGTATGCACATTGAATTTTTTTTTTAGTTATTGACCTTTGGACAGATGTACAGAAAGGGCTTATAAGAGGAACAGAGTACTTTTAAGTAACTTAATAATACCAATATTATTGAAAAGAGAAGGAGTGAGAGATTAGAATATTTGTGGAATAAAGCTATAAAAGTAGAAAGTTTCTAAATTATTCAAAATTCTGTAGGTATAACAAAGCCTTTTTCTTTATTGTAAGAGTAAATGGGGATCCAGGTGATTGCAGGGCCAGATTGGCACTCTGACAAGTTCACTGTCATTGTAGCACTAAGGACTGCATTGAGGGGTGATGGGGTGTGTCAAGTGGGACTAAACTTTTGTTTATTTATTTGGCAAAGGGAAAAAAGGGAGAGAATGATGGCTGAAGCAGTGTATGGAGTAAAGAGTGCTAGGAAATAAGTCTGGAAGATGATTTGGGTTGGATGTCTGCAAAAATAAATCTGAATGTGGAACATTAGGAAACAAAGAAATATTAAAGCTTTTTGAGCAAGGAACTGATGTTATTTAAGAAACTATTAAGAAGTTTACATTTTACTCTGTTCCCTGCTACATAATTTTGAACAGCTTTTGAGGAAATTTATAATAGTAGTTAGAAGATATCACCTACCTCCAAGAAATTAAAGGTTTTATTCACTATCTCACAACAAAGGGGGAAAAAACCCTTTTTTTATAGTTGCCTTTTATATGTATACATTTAGACATACATATAAAATGTATGAGGTCTGTGTGGAAGGTATCCAGTCATGTAGTATGAAAAATAGAGACATTTATTAAAGAAGATACAATATAGGAGAAACATTGTACATAGGACAATGATGCCTCAGTACTCTTCAAAGTAGGCATATTGGGACCTCACACACTTCCTCCAGCAGCTCTAAACTGTTCAAAACCCTCTTTAAAATCCTTTGTAGAATCATCATCATCAATTCCCCATCCCCACCCCTGGTCATATTTTCCTGAATCTCATCGATGGTCTGAAATCTCTTCCCTTTCAGAGGTGATTTGAGTTTTGGGAAAAGGCAGCAGTGGCAGAATGACAAATCTGGGATATTGGGGGGCTGAGTCACCTCAGTGATTTGATGTTTCACCAAGAATCCTCCATGAGATAAAATGCATGAGAAGAGCATTGTCTTGATGAAGCTGACAATCACCAGTTGTCCATAGCTGTGGCTTTCTGAATCATCCAAATAGTATCTGCAGAGAAATGTTCAACCTTAAAGCAAAATTTGATGCAGTTTCATTGGTCTACTTGCTCAGTCATTTTGAATTCAACAGCCAGACAGTACACATGCTCACTTAACTGTGTCTACCACCCCCACTGACTAGTACAACGAAGTCATCAGTGTTCACACATGCACATTCTAGTCCACTCTCCTTGGCTGCCAGGTTACATCAATGTCACACAAACCATTCTCAACATATTGACAATGGCTGCACATTTTCCAGACAGATTTCATATATCTAGAAGCACAAAATGAAACCAGAAATACTCTTGCCCTCTGGGGAGGAGGCTGATGAGATTAATTAACTGGAATAAAAGTGAAGGTTTTTCTCATTTGAAAATGAAATAAATGAACAAATATTCTTACAAATATACTTTATTCCAAGTTCAAGAATCATTGAATATCATCCTTCAAGTTAAAAACACAAAATCCATGTAAACTTGCAAGATAATAAAAAATAGTAAACTTCAAAATATATTTCTAATATAAAGTCTCAATTGATTAAAAATAAAATATCTAACCCTGTAGTAAAGAACCTTTTTAAAACCATTAGTGCTTCCAGTCAAGATGGTGGCATACACAGATATAGCTGGCCTCTTCACACAATCACATGAAAATTACAGCTAAAATATGAACAACCATCACTAAGGAACACCACAAATCAAGTTAAATAGAAGTCTAAAGAAACCACATCCACCCAGCCTGGTAAGAGGGGTGCAGATGCATTATGGGCTCATCCAACATCCACATGGATAAAAATTCAGAAGGGATATCTCAGGAGCAAGGAGTCCCAAACCCACATCATGACCTCCAGCCCAGGATTCCATTGTCAGGAAGACAGTTCCCCACAACCTCTGGATGCAAAAACTAGCAGGGATTGAGTCAGTGGAAGACACTTCTGAATGCTCATGTATTTCCTCTTAAAGAACCCACATAGGGTCTCACTTACTCAGACTCACTTCCTCTGAGCTCCAACACCAGGGTAGCAGCTTGAAAGGCACCAGTAGGATAAAAGGAGAAAGTGAAGTATCTGGCATCAAGGCGAGCAGAGGCCATTGTTCCCTTGCTAAACCCTCCCCTGACAGAGCTGGTAAGTTACTGACATATCTGAGATTCCATTAACCTGGCTAGCACTGTTTGACCCCCCGCTTAGAGATCCCCAGAGGCTCTGCCCCACCCAACTCACAGGCCCACCCAAACTGCTTTTCCACAAGAATGGCTGGTCTTGGCTCCTAAATCCTATCAAACAAGCAACACCTGGCTTTAGTGAGCCCTAGCAGCAGGCAGATTAGAGTCACACCTTGGCTTCACCTGGGAATCTCCAAGCCCAGCACAAGTAGCAGCCATCTCAGATTGCTTTACAGCTCAGGAAGAGTGTCCAGGCAAAACAAAGGTGGGGGCTGACCTTGACCTGCACCACCTGGGAAACCCCAGGGCCAGAGCACCCAGTGGACAGCTACAGACCATGTCAGAGAAACACCACCCTGCCCCTGCACAGCTGTCCCTCCACAGAGGGAGGAGGTTAGTGGTCAGTGGTCACAGGCAATATTTGCAGCTAACTGGCCTGAGTAAATCCCTCCCATTGATCTGCCAACAGCAGCTAAGGCTCAACTACAAGAGGAGGACATACTCAGCCCACATGAAGGGTGCACCTCTAGTCCCCAGCTTGGGTGATAGGGAAGATTGTGCTACTGTACCCTACAGGACACCCACTACATTAGAACATACTACCAAGTCAGGGCATCATAGCATCTCTACCTAATACATGGAAACAAACACAAGGAGGCTCCCAAAATGAGGAGACAAAGAAACCTGGTCTAAATGAAAGAACAGATCAAAACTCCAGAAAAAGAGCTAAACGAAATGGAGAAAAGCAATCTATCAGCTGCAGAGTTCAAAACACTGTTTATAAGGATACTCAAGGAACTTAGTGAGGACCTCAGCAACATAAAAAAGACCCAGTCAGAAACAAAGGATGTTATCATTGAAATAAAGAATAATTCACAGGGAAACAACAACAGAGTGGATGAAGATGAGAATCATATCAATAATT